CATAATACCCAGGATGACTCGAGTATGGGAAAACATTCGTACAGCATAATGATGTCAACGAGATGAAGTCAGTTGATCAAATGAAAATGCTGGGCCCCCAGATGGCTCCAACTTCATCCTGTTCCCTACTTGTATGTTCATAACAAAAAAAATGCTTTAAAAGAGTGATGTAGGTAAAAGCTTTACTTGCTAATAAAGTTTGGAAATTTTTGGTTTTTTTCCAAACCCCCTTTTTTTTTTTAAAAAAAAAAAAAAAAAAAAAAGAAAGAGAAGGGGGGGAGAAGGGGGGGAGAGAGGGGGGAGGGGGGAGAAAGGGGGGGGAGAGGGGGGAGGGAAAAAAAAAGGGGGGGGGGGAGGGGAAAAGGGGGGAAAAAAAGAAGAGAGGAAAAAAAGAGAGAGAGGGGGAAAAAAGAAGGGGAAGGGGAGAGAGAGAAAGGGGGGGGGGGGGAAAAGGGGGGGAAAAAGGGGAAAAAAAAAAAAAATTTTTTTTGGGGGAAAAAAGAAAAAGGGGGGGGAAAAAAAAAGGAAAAGGGGGGGAAAAAAAAAAAAAAGGGGGGGGGGGGGGGGGGTTGGGGGGGGGGGAAAAAAAAAGAGGAAAGGGAAAAGGGGGGGGGGAAAAAAAAAAAAAAAAGGGAAAGGGGGAAAAGGGGGGGGGGGGGGGGGGAAAAAAAAAAGGGGGGGGGGGGGGGAAAAAAAAATTTTTTTTTTCCCAAAATTAAAAAAAAAATTTTAAATTTTTAAAAAAAAATTTTTTTTTTAAAAAAAAAAAAAAGGGGGGTTTAGGAAAAAAATTTAATTAAAAAAAAAAAAAAAATTTTTTTTTTAAAAAAAAAAAACCCCCAAAAATTTTTTAAAAAAAAAGGGGTTTTTTTAAAAGTTGTTTTTTTGGGGGGGGGGGGTTTTTTTTTTTTTTCCAAATTTCCCCAAAGGGGGTTTTCTTTAAAAAAAAAGGGTTTTTTTTTTTGGGGGAAAAAAAATTTCCCCCCAAAAAAGGGGTTTTTCCCCCCTTTTTTTTGGGGGGGTTTTTTTTGAAAAAAAAGGGGAAAACCCCTTTTTTTCCCCCCGGGGGGAAAAGGGGGTTTCCCCCCCCCCAAACCCCCCCCCCTTTAAAATTTTTTTTTTAACCAAAACCCGGTTTTTTGGGTTTAAAAAATTTTTTAAAAAAAAAAAAAAGCCCTTTTTTTTTTAAAAAAAAAAATTTTTTTTTAATTTTTTTTAAAATTTTTTTTTTGGGGTTTTTAAAAAAAGGGCCCCCCCCTTTTTTTTAAAAAAAGGGGGAAAGGGGAAAATTTAAAAATTTTTGGGGTTTTCTTTTAAATTTTGGGGGAAAACCCCCAAAAATTTTTTTTTTTCCCCCGGGGAAAAAAATTAAATTTTTGGGGGTTTTTGGGGGTTCCCTTTTGGTTTTCCTTTAAAGGGGAAAAATTTTTTTAAATTTTTTTTTTTTTTTAAAAAATTTTTGGGGGTTTTTTGGGGGGTTTTGGGGGGGGTTTTTTTTTTAAAACCCCCAATTTAAAAAAATTTTTTTTTTTTTCAGGTTTTAAAACTTTTTACACATATGGGGGGTAGGGGGGGGATCCGCCCCTTGTAGTTTTTTTTCCATCTTAAAAAGGGTGTAAGACAAACCCCCCCGACGGGGACATCGTAACAGACGGCTGGACCTCAATGGAAGATCCAGGGGAGGGAAATTGAGTCACCAATTAGGAGAGGTCCCCTGCGCGCGGTCCCTTCTTGGGGACCTGGTCTTTAGGGACCTAACACATCACCAGGGTCTTGAATCTTGTGACTACATCAACACTTTATAACACGTAATGAATGCGATGCGCGCCTCAGCATGTGTCTGCAGATCGAGAGCAGTAAACATAAGAAAATAACATGGGAGTGATTAATATCTGAGGCAGCGAAGCTAAATCTTGGGAAACTTTGGGGAAAAGGTTGGACACATGTGTGGGTGGGAATGTTCGGTTTAGAGAAGAACCTGCCTAGTCTGGGACAGTAGGCCTACTGCAATCTCGAGAAATGAGACACGTGAGGAACATATGGGAATCCTCATCATTTTCAATAAGGATTCCCCTATGTTGCATAAGGGCCTCATTCTTCAACTTGTCGGTTATCTAATCCATTTATCACACTGCAGTCTCCCTCCATTATTAAGTTCTTATAAGAATGGAGGAACACTGCAGCAGGCCTACTGGCCCATACAAGACAGTTCCTTATCAAAATCACTCATTACCACTCACGTATTTGTCCAGCCTATTCCCAAAGTTGCCCAAGAATTTATCTCAGTACCTCAGGTACACCGGCTTGAAGCCAGTGTGTAGCGATTATTTTTTTATTTTTTAAGAAATTCTGGTAAGATGGTGTGAAGGTGGTGCCTCAGGGGGTCAAGGGCCACCCGTGGAGTGTCACCTTTTGGTGCCAAAACTCGTGGAAAATACACGGGAACCAGGGCCACCAGGCGAGCTATTCTCCGGGCACTCTAGAGTAGTATAGATGGTAC